CGGGCAGCAATCGCCACATTAACATACCTACTGTTACTGGCCCGGGGAATTTATATTCCATTGGGGGGGGAGGCGGCTAGTAGTAGTAGTAGTAGTAGTAGTAATAGTAATAGTAGCAGCAGCAGCAGTAGTGTGGTAGTGGTAGTAGTAGTACTCCTTATTTTGCTACTAACAGGCGACTACTATGACTATACTATTGCTACAGCCACTGCTCATTCTTCTCCTCCTCTTTCGTTCACTCTACTGTCATAAGTCATGAGTATCACTATCAGGGGTGCCATCGCGATCACCACAAATATCACGACAACTCACGACTAGCAGGCATCTTTGCTGCAGCTGCCATTGCCAACTGTCGCACTTGCTTATCAGCAACAACTGTTTTTCAATGGACCGGTAGTCTCTTGAGATGCCTCCTTGGCCAGGCGTGGCGACAGAGAGTACCAAGCCCTTGCCAGCACCAGCAAGCAGGCAATCCACCTTGCGAAAGGCCACAGGAATGTTTGGACTTGATCTCATGAACTTCTTGATGTGTACTTCTACGTAAAGGACACCACCATAACCCCATGCTTCCCTGATAACAATCGGGAGTCATGGGATCTTGAAATTTATGCCTGAGCCTTGGGAAGGAACGACTGCTTGGCAAACTGCTGGATTGCATGGCTTTCAGCTCCCCACAAGCTGGTCCTCCAAATGCTTCGGCCTGGGACTGGTCTACAGCACAAGCACCACAAGCACGAGATAGATGTGCGCAAAATTCGGGGGAGTGCAAGGGGGCAGTTGCGTGCAGCGTTCAGCCTGTACTAGACTACACGAAGCGCAGCCAGAGTGCACATGCTCGAAGACTTCCAGGCAAATGCACCAGTCATAACCTGCCATCACTGACATAAAAAAAAAAAAGAGCAAAAGCAGGCTGCGGAAAGTGGCATGGCCAATGATGCCTTCACTCTGCTTTCCGGCGATCAATACGGACGGGGACGGGTACTAACAGCAGCATGCATTCAGTGGCCGACTGCATGGCATGCACTACATCAGCGGAGCAGAAAGCAGGTTTTGCTGCCACGGGCCTTCCAAGCATATCTTCTTTGGCAGCTCAACATCTGCCTGCCACACAGCAACACGCGCAAGCGAGCTCAGGGGGCTTGCCGACAGCGATTGCCCGTTCCCTGAGTAGCAAGGATGCTCTGGCAGGTGTTGGGGTCCCGTGCAATCTGCCACAGACCGTTGCGGAGGCGCACTCCGACCCCTCAAACACCATGCCAGCAAGACGAAATCCGCATGGTAGCATAGACCATCAGTCAAAGACTCCGTGTCCTGGTGTCCGTCGAACCTCGACAAATCAAGAGATACGCAGATTCGTGCTCATCAGAAGTCTGTCAGTGGATTTACTTGTCCACTTGTCCACTGACGAACTCCAATAGCGAGCATCAATGAGAATGAGACGAATGGTGAACCAGAACAATGTGTCTTATTCTGAAGCCTGGACACCCGTCACAGTCGATTCCACGAGCGCGCATTGCACGGACATAGAAGCCAGATCCACAACCCATGTCAATGACCTTCTTGGGCTTCTGGTACCTGTACTTCAGCAATCGGATCGTAGAGGATGAAGAGGCACCGGGCTCACTGGATGAAGGCTCCAAGCGCATGCGCTAGCCCGGGATCGTGATGATGGAGCCTGGTCAGCTCGAAACTACGAGACAAGAAGACCTGCATATCGCTCACGAGCCGAGTGCGGAACTGTGAGCTCCAACTTCGCCAGGCGCCGGTAGGGCCAACCAACTCCTTCAACAACTCCAGGTCAGCGGGCTCCGGCACAGGGACTTCCTGCTGCAGTCATCCCGAAACTAAATGACCGCCAACTGGCTCCATCGGGTATGTCATCCGTATGCAGTAGATGTTCTGTCACAAAGTTTCCTTGCCCTCGCCGGGCAAGGAGTCGACGACGACGGCCATGATGCAGATGACTTCTTTCGGCAGTTGTCAATGAATTCTCTCTGCGGTGCTTGAAAGATCTTGAAAGTCATGGGTCGGACCCTGCAACGGTTGAATGGTGGCAGTATCCCAACTCAAAGCCACGCTAGATCTTGGGATAGCTTGCCATGACATGACAGACTGCGAGGCTGAGGCATTCTAACTTCACAGTCCTATTGCGGCCTTTCTACCCGTAAGCCAAGGTTTCGGAAACAAACAACGGACAGGATCATCACACGTGCCTGCTGTGATGGCTCTCAAAGCCGGGTTATGGCCAGATGCATTGAATTCTTGTCCATGATCCGCAGAAATTTGCTACCTGTCTGTGCATCACCAGGCAGTTTGAAAGTAT